CAGCTGTGGACACTTGTTGAAATTTGAATCTCTCTTTTCTTGGTTTGCTTGCTCCCCCCCTCGAGTGGCAAGAGTCATTGCTAGAGCTAAAACTAATCTTAGTTCAGCCCGTGGTAATTAACAGAAGTTACTTTATCCTTTAATCACATGCGTTTCTCTTGAGGTAGTGAAATAGCACAGCAACACACAGTTTTAGAGAGGAAGTGAAAAAGGTGATTGCCTGGTTTTGAAATGAAAGGGGGAATTCAGCCAGTGTGTAATTATTCAAGTGAGAAGTTGGTCCTGTCTGTCTTTAATATTCCAAAGTGGTATTTGATGTAAATCCTTCCCCAGAGTTCATTACATTAGCTCTTAGCTCAACCTGAGCACACCGAGTGCCAAGTTCAGCGTGCAGCATGTTTTATAACCGAGTAGAATGACGTCATCCCAGTGATCCTGCAGCTCCCTAGTTCCTTGGGAGGAGGTATGGCTTTGTCTTCAGCCTAAAGATGAAATGGAATATGTTTGATGAGATTCCCTTGGTATTTGCAGTGTAGAACGTGTGAGGAATATTGCTTTGCACCTCCAGCAAGAACTGTCCCTTTTTGCCTTTTAAAAAAAAAAAAAAAAAAAAAGTTGTTACTTTGCTTGTAATATTTTTCTTTGCCGAAAATGAAAATTTTCCTTTACGGATCCCTAGGTGCTTTACAAGAAGACCGACAGAGCCCTTTTGCGGGTGGGTAAAACAAGTTGCAGGGAAGCATGGTGGCTTGTTGGCATCCACCCCGTGGTAAACCCTGGTCTAGTCCTGGGGGCTGCCAGGCAGCTGCTGAGGGTTCTGGGTTGAACCACGCTGATTTTTTTTTTACAAAAAAGTGGAAGATAAATTTAGAAAATTTCATAATGGTTTGTCACCGCCACTTTACAGAAATACTGGTCAGAGCTCCTGAGAAGCCAGAAATCCATCCTCCCTCCACACTTTGTCCTGACCTCAGTGAGACTCGCGGGAGTGCAGAGTCCCAGCGCCTGTCCCCAGCAGTGGGTGGTGCCTGCTATTTCAGATGCTGTTTACCGTAAGTAAGAAAGACTGCAATGATATAGCATGAATGTAAGTGCTAAGAAACAGGCAAGATGCCCAGCCACCCCACCGAGACTGGGCTGGGAACGGCATGCGTAACATCAGCCACAGCTTTGGGGGATAGTTGGGGAGAAAGATTCCAACTGCAATGAACAGACAGTTTTCAGGGCATTGTGAGAGCAGAATGAAATTCTCCTCACTATACAACCAAGCCCTGAGAGGGAGCAGCCTCTCCCAGCCCTTGAAAATCCATGCTGGCAGACTCAGAGCAAATATGCTGTCCCCTGTTATGACAAATCTCTGACAAGCCAAGGTCAGAAAGCAGAAAGTTTTAGCTGCTCTATCATGCCAGGAACAAAAAAAAAAACCAAAACACCAAAGAAAACAAAAAGCCTTGTTTTAAAATAAGCTGTTTTAAATAAACAAGTGTTCTTTTGGTCTTTGAACCACATCAGAGTACATACCTAACAATATTTGTTAAGTAAATATCAGTGACATGTTTAAGTCTGGCTCAGTATGCATTAGCAAAGTGGTATTTGTGTTGCTTTTGTTGTAACAAGAGTCAATAGTGTTTCTAGAAGGTGGTCTGAAAAAAAGGGACTTTGGGTTTTTTTTTCCCACTTAGCATCCCACAGAGAAACATCTGCCCACCAGTAACCCCACCACAGGACTTTTAAGTAAAAAAACCCTTCCCAATGCACTGATTTTGGTGGTTATACTTCACTTTTATTGTCTTAGGTCAGTTCCTACTCTGCCTTTTAGGTGTTATTTTTTACCCATGGATCCACCTCTTAGATCATTTTGGCTTTCCGAGGGAAGTCTGCCCCAAGACTGGTCGCAAATACATGATCACATTATTATAGCCTGTACCTGAAGCACCATGGTGCTGTGGCTGAGCACAGTTCAGACCTATTCCCACCTCTTCTGATCAGCTAGTCCCTGAGCTTAGATTTTATTCAGTTTGATACTAGTGCTGTAGGCACAGAAAGCTCCCTGCTCAGACCTGCTCCTCATAGCTTCGCAACTGGGCTGACCCAGTGTCAACCAAGATACACACACTAGCACTATACAGAAAGCTACTGAGGGATCAAGAGGTCACCACACAGCCTAAAAGCCAATGGTTGCTTTTCCATATGCAGCAAAAGAAAAAAAGTCAATTTTTAATTTAAATAGATACTTGTATTTTTGTTTGTCTGTCCTTTGACGTTTTGCCTTATTTAACTCTTAAGAGCCAGATGGTAACTCTAGGGTTAATGCACAGACAGGGGCATCCGAAGCAAGAGAACAGGTTGTAACAGTGATGCTGCTGAATTACAAATTCTCCAGCAGGAACAGAGGTTTTCTTTTACATCTTATGGGCTGTGAGGAAGTCAGACTGCCTCTTAAGTGTCCTTTCCTGTATGGCAATAGAAGTGATCTCTTTGGGCATGCTCAGAAATTTTGGGCTTAATAAATCATCACTGTAGACTACGTGCTTCCATGTCTGGGAAACGGTGTGACTTTTTCTCCCTGCCTTTGCGGGGTGTTAGAGAGGAGAAAAGGTCATGCTCTGTGGGACCCAAGGGGGGAAACTGCAGTTCGTGATTCAGGCTTGAGCTACCCCAAAGTCAGGCCATTGAAGTCACGGTGAGGCTCTGCAGGCAAAAATGACAGCCAGGCTTTTATCTGTATGCCATGGCATCACAGGTCAATACTATGACTTCTTTCTCTTCTTTAAAGCTTTCATGTCAGAGGAATCAAAGCCCCCTACCTCCCCTTCTCAAATTGCCTCCAGTTAATAATAGCACGAACAGTAGTTAGCCCAGGTTTCAAAGAGGCTTTGATGAGATATTGCTCTTTGATAAGCCATTTCAAGGGCAGGAGGCAAAGTGTTTACTTTGCTTGGAAGAGGAGTCTGATGAGCAATTTACTTTTCTTTTGCTGAGGCCAAGCAGAGCTTTGTTACCTCCAGAATATGGAGATTGCAGAGGTGGTTCAGAGCTACTTCTCTACCTCTGGCTATTTCTTTGCCTTATGCAGGAATAAAAGTTACAAATGAAGCCCAGCAGCCTGTCCCTACCTGTGACACCTGCCTCTGTGCTGAGCCTCAGCAACCATCCACGCCCCAGCTTTCCTTCCCTCCCATGACTGTTTTTCGTGCCTTTGGCTGTCCTGGGAGGCCCGGAGGAATTAGGAGTGCCATGAAACCCAGGAGTGCCGCTGGCCCAGAGGCGAGAGCGAGCTGTAGCTGCATGAATAGCTGAGCCCTCCCTAACCACGCACTGCAGCAGAAAGGTGCAAACAGGGAAATCAGGCTTTGGGTTGGACTGGCCAGTCTGACTGGTGGTGAGCCAACCTGTAAGACATGGAATTACTTAGTCTGAGGATACTGAAGCTCTCCCAAAGCCTAGGCCTGTACTAAATGCAGCAGGTGCTTTCCTGGAGACGGGAAAAGCCACAGCAAAGGGGTGAAGGCAAGCTACTGACTCTTGCTACAAGAAAGCTTTACAAACTGGGATTATAAATGGCAAGGCTATTTAATGTTCATTTCATGAAGCATTTTACTATACAGGCTGCGAAATATATCAGACTCACTGCTCAGGCACAATAAATAGGTCCACTCCGGCAGCCTAACTGCACCTTTCAGATCAGCAGGGGAGCAGGACAGGGCAGGAGGTGTTGCGGTGGCCACAGGCGCTTCCTGACCGCGCGCTTTCCAACACTGTAGGTGGAACATAAGGAGTTTTGTTTAGAGATTGAAAGAAAACTTGAGTGTATGCAGTGGGCTGCAAGATATCTCCGAATAGAGGGACTCTGCACGCTACTTCGGGCCCAGCCAGGCGGGTTTGGGAGCTGTAAACCCCCTGCCCCAGGGTTGAGATAACTCGGCGACCGTGTCACGGCCCGACCCCGCTGGTGGCAGCTGCGGCCCAGGAGAGCTGGTGGCTCTCACGGAGCTGTGCCCACCCCAGGGCTCAGGGGGAAAGGAAACCGGCTGCCCCCCCCTGTAGCAGGATGTTATTCACATGCTTAGATCTGCCGGACCAAGCACTCGTACCAGAAGGAAAGGAGACGCACAAGGTAAGCGGGTGTTGGGGAGGGGGCTGCTAGAGGCAGCGAGGGAGCTACAGGCGGGGCCGTCGCTGGAGAAAACAAAACACGTTTCGCCCAGGCGAGGGCCTGGCCGGCGGCAGCACGCGGTGCACCGGGTCGGTCAGTGCTTCTCCGGAAAAAGCGGCGTTACCGGGGCCGGGGCGGGCGCTCGGGTCAGCTCTGCTCGGCCGTTGTTGGGT